CCTACCACCTTCAGCTTTCCTCGCCTTCTTTGGTGAAACGCTGCAGTGTATCCCTTACAGAAAAAGGGGAAAACAGCACTAACCTTTGGTTAGCTTGGTATTTTATACTACATAATTATCAAGTATGGGTTAAAATTTCATTTAATTTCTTCTCAGTCGTGAGTACTTGGGAAGTGATGTCAAAGGGTATTCTAACTATATTAATCTCCCCATGCAAGAGGGAACTGCAGGTTAAATTTCAACAGAAAAGATAATTGCTTTCTGCTATTGGAAGGTACACGTTAGAAAGCCCTTGGCACGGAGCTGCCGCACTCCTTCGCAGCGGTCCCTCTGGGCTCCATCACACGCGCTTCACGCCGTGCCGTTCGGGCGACGCGCGCTTCGGTAACGCGCTCTGACCACACAGAATTAGGAGACTGATCCCAGGACGGGGGGGAATCTGCAGGTCTGCTCCAGGAGAGCAGCCAAGCCTTCCACCCGAGTGCTGAGAGGGCAACAAGAGTCCTCCAAAACAGAAAGATTGTCTAAATGCAGAGCCAATTAACAACGAACACATAAGCGTCCCGAGTGCTCTGGAGGAGGATCTCCCTCCGTCTGCCCAAAAGGTGCCTGTAGCTGGAATCAAGCTACAGAAGCTTGTGCTGGAAAACCAAGTCCCGCAGCTCCAAGCCTTCCACCCGAGTGCTGAGAGGGCAACAAGAGTCCTCCAAAACAGAAAGATTGTCTAAATGCAGAGCCAATTAACAACGAACACATAAGCGTCCCGAGTGCTCTGGAGGAGGATCTCCCTCCGTCTCCCCAAAAGGTGCCTGTAGCTGGAATCAAGCTACAGAAGCTTGTGCTGGAAAACCAAGTCCAGCAGCTCTCAGGCCTGCAAGCTGCCATTCCTCTTCCGAAATAGCTGGAAGTTTGAACATTACGAGCAGTGACAGGCCAGCTTGAAAAAGCCTTCAATATTCAACTTTGTCACAACTTATTGTTTCAAAAATTGACCCTTTCCATCATTTATACCACTTTTTTTTCCCCACCTTCCTCTGGCCGAGTGTCAGCTAAGCATCCTTCGAAAAGCAGCAGCACTACACAAGAACTACACGTTTTTCGGGTGTTTTCCAGGCTCACCATGCGGACGCCAAGCTGGCCAGACCCCGGCAGCCCACACTGCCCAGGCACGGGGAGCGGCAGCACCGAGCTAACACCTCGCACGCACGAG